GTGGTGTGTGTATGTGTTTGCCAAGGTGCTCATGTGGAAATCGGAGGACAACTTATAGGCATCTGTTCTTTTTTTCCACCATGTAGAGCCTGGGGAATCAAACTCAAGTCATCAGCCTTGGCAGCAAGCGCCTTTACCCACTGAGCCATCTCACTGGCCCCTCTGGAAACATTTTTAGGAGTGGAGGGAAGGTGCTAAGCCAATTGTGATTATATTTTATCATCTCTGCCGTAGTTCTCTCAGAAGCGCACTGTGGAAGTATTTGCCCTCTCTGGTCATAACCCCAGTGCTGTGTTTAATTTATTTTGAAGTAGTTCCATCATGATTAATGTACCTTTAATTTCTTCAATAATCATACAAAGTAGGTAGGACAGCATTCCCACCTTATAGATGCAGAAGGTAAGATATAGCTCTCTTTAGTGGCTGACACAGGGTACTCACTCTGTGCTGACCCTCAGTGTGGTACTCTTTCTGCATAAACTAGAGAGCCTTCATTTTCTTTTTTTCTTTTTTTTTTTTTTTTTTTTTTTTTTTTTTTTTAAAAAAAAACTGAGACAGGGTCTCCCTGTAGCCCCAGCTGGCCTGGAACTCATTATGTAGACCAGGATGGGCTTGAGCTCACAGAGAATCACCTGCCTCTGCCTCCTGATGGGTGCTGGGATTAAAGGAGTGAGCCACCATGCCCAGTGTGAGTCTTCATTTTTTCACGTTCTATCAGTCACTCATCAGGGAACATCAGCTCCTCTACGATAGACCCTCTATGATAGACCCATTTACTCTATAAGGAATATTGATATGCTTACAGTCATTGCATTATTAAATTAATCAGTTAGAGTAACGAAATAGATTTGTGCTTGAAGCAGCAGCTCTTTGTGTATAAGAGCCAGATGCCAGTCAAAAACACATATCTGTAAGCTTCTTTCCAGTAGGGCTGAATGAGGGGCATTACTTTCCTGGTGATTAAATCATTTCTGGTTTACATGTTAAAGCATTAGAGCAATATAACAATGTCAACATCATCACTACTCCTAACCCCCACCTCACCACACATCAACTGAACATCTCTTCATATCCAGAGTAATGTGGCATCTTTGACTATGAAAATTATACTACCTGTCATTCTTCCTAAGTATGAGCAACTTGAATTTCATTAGTGACAGCTCACTTTTATGTCTTCTTTGTCTAAAATGGATGTGGATGGATACTCTCTCTGTGTCTCTCTGTGTCTCTGTCTGTCTCTGTCTCTCTGTCTCTCTCTGTCTCTCTGTCTCTCTGTCTCTCTCTCTCTCTCTCAGGCATTGTAATCATTTTTTAAAAAAGACAAGGGGCTGGAGAAATGGCTCAGAGTTAAAAACACTGATTGTTCTGGCAGAAGACCTGGGTTCAAATCCCAACACCCACATGGAAAGTAATAACTGTCTGTAACTCCAGTCCCAGGGGATCCAACAGCCTCTTCTGACCTCCGCAGGCATTGCAAGACATAGGTGCACTTACCTACATGCAGGCAATACATGCATGCACATAAAATAAACATAATAAATAAAATTTTTTTTTAAAAGACAAAACCAGAACAAGAAATCAGCAACAAAGCTGGGTGGGGTACACAACTTTAATCCCAGAACTCAGGAGACGAAGGCAAGTGGATCTCTGTAAGTTTGACGCCAGCCTGGTCTACACATTGAGTTCCAGTGAAACCTTGTCCCCCCAAAAATAGAAACAAAACAAATCAAGAACAAACAAAAACAAAGAAAACCAAAAAATTGAATTAGCAACCGAGCCTGGGGATGTAGCTCAGTGATAAAGAACTTGCCTTGAGGACGTAGTTCAATTTCCAGCACAACAAAAAGGAAGAAAAGGAGAGAAAGAAGGAAGAAATTAGCAGCCGTATACCCAGGAGGAGGTATCACCCTAAGACTAGGGTTTTGCACTTTTGCATTTCATTAAGTTTCCTGGAAGCTTAGGTAAAACTAGAAATCATTATTATATGATACTTATAGATGAAAAAAAGGTACATTTGCAGTTCACTGACTGCCGCCAACAATTTGGCATGATTTGTAAAGGTTTTATGTGTGTTTTTCTTTTAAAAAGAACAGGGTGAGTTAAGTCTAGTTAGGGCATAAGCTTTCTAAAAAATACTGTGGAAAGTTCGGTATCATTGGGGACGTGATCAGAAGAAAGAGAGAGTGGAATCTTCTTACCTCCTCCAATTTATCTACTCGCCCCACCAGTTTAGTGGTGACTGAATGCAGCTTCAGGAGATCCAGGCCATAGAATGCTCCTTCCAGCATGTCTATAATCGTGGACAGCTAAGAAACAAGGGCAAGAGGTTAGTTAGTTCAGAGCTAGAGCAAACAGAACCCCAGGAGAGAAGTTTCCTTTCAGATCTCCATGTTGGAGGTTTGCCAGGAAGGTTACTAGACAGGACAAGAGATGGCGCTCAGAAACACATTTATGCTGGCAAGGAAATGGTTAGCCCAATAATATGTATTGTTCCTTACAAAATGGGCAAGAAAATGGGATAAAACTACAGGACTAAGTAAACCTGAAGTCCAGACATCTTCATAGACTATTTGTGCCTCTGTCACAAAATCGGTCCGCTGCCCACATATCTACTTTTCTTACTAGACACCTTCATCTCTGTTCCATTAAGATATATAGCAGAGCTCCTGGTCATAACAGGTAATCTATAAATACTCAGCATAGTGGCTACAGATGTCAATACCTTGAGGATATGCTTCTGAAACCCTCAACTGCACCATCTACTAATGGTCCTCAAAGGCACTTATCAGCTTTTCCTTAGTATAAAAAGCTGAACTGATCCTGGAATACAAGGAGATCTAGTGGTCCATGTTTGAGATGGCAACCTGCCCTGGGCACTCGGTCTTCTCATCTTTTCCCAATACAATCTCCCCTACCAGTATGGAGTCAATGGGACAAAGGTAGCTGCAGAGTTCAGACAAAGGTGAAGGTTAGAGAGGCTGAAAAGTGATTTCCTACCAAGGGCCTATGCTTGGGGGAGTATGCTGGACCGCACTATTGTAATCACTTTCCATCATCCCCCAGCTTTGCCTCCAAATAAAGAACTCCATGCGGAAATGTTTATGTTCAGAAGATTTCCTTCCTGCCCCAGGGATTCCACAGCTTGTTAGTATGGATTTTGATGATTTTCTGATTCCGAATAGAAATCATTTTGCCTGTTGTAGTTCCAGGAATCCCCCAGAATTCAATCCCTGTACTAAGTGACTATGGCACTTGGTTCAGAAAGTAGTTGCATGGCAGAGCTTCCTCTCTGAGACATATGGCCAAACCCTGGGATAGCCCTCATCCTGTTAAACACTTCTGCTTAAAAAGGAATCAGTGGCTACTATGTTAGTGAGTGGGTGCCTGGTGCCAGGCCCATCAGGAGCACAATACATCATTCTTCATCTGTTCATTTATACAGGCCTCATGGACTGTTGGGCACTGTGCCAACTACTCAATAGGTGCCATTCCATCAACGGTTCCAGACCCTCAAAACCCCTCCACATTATAGTCAAGGATTCTAAGGTCAGACAAGTGAAACAGTGTGGACAGGGTCATGCAGTAATGACTGGAGCCCAAGTCTATCTACTCCACACCAAAAGTAGAAGAGGAAGAGCAGGATCAGTTGAAGCCCTTAGCCAACCATGGGGCTGCCCACATAGGGCCTAAGCTTCCCCATGCATGAGCCCAGCACCAGCATGATGACTTGGCCAGAGCGGGTCACCCCAACAACAGTGCGGGGGACTAAAAGACACACTCTTCCCTGTGTCTTTCACATCTTCTGTGTACATGGTAGCTGACAGTAAATTATGACAGTGGTTTTCCTGGAGAACACTGAGTTCTTTTGGCCAGATGGGCCTGGCAACTACTCCTAGGCCTGGCCTCCCTAGCTCTATAGGAAGGGGCAGGCATATTTTGCTTTAACTTCTCCCTTAGACTTTAGAGTTGAAAACTGCCAGCTTATTAGAACATCAACCTCAGATCCACATACATGACTCCAGGGACCAGGCTTGGCCTCCTTGAAAGGCCTTCCATCCCCAGTTATGAGCCTGTAGTCTCATGGATCCCCAAAGTGCTTTTTCATTCAGAGCACTGCCCACCCTCCACCCCTGTGTCTGTCATCCCATGCCCCCCAACCCCTCGCCCCAGCTTTTACCTTCAAGTCCCTGCTGTCTGCCTCTCGCAGCTTCTGGAGCCTAAAGTCCCCCTCACAGGGATTGAGGGCAGATGGGGGAGCAACACAGGCACACTTGCAAGATGAGCCTGAGGTGATGGTTTCCACAGTGTAGAAGTCTTCCTTCCTAGAAGCCCCCTCGTTGATCCTCTGGCAGGCATCTCGGCCCAGGGGTCTCACCACACACTTGCACTGACAGTCAGAGCCCTCAGACACAGCCTTGACCTTGTCATAGTCACCTAGCAACTAGAAACACACAGAGTAAGTGTAGATATGCATGCACATGCTTCTCAAAGAGGCTGTCATTTCACTTTGTCAAACATCCTGCTGTAGCCAGAGACCTCAGACTGTTCTGAGTTGTGGAGTGAACAAGTCATCGCTCATAATTCGCTGACTGGGACATTTCCCTGAAGGCACTCAGAGCTCAGCTTGCTTAGTTTGCCTTGGAAAACTGTGTATCTCTCAGGGGGCCCTTAACCTTTCATCATTTAAATGAAAAAAACAAGCCTCATCATTCTTTCAATAGCCTTTGCCCTTAGCTCAAATCCAGGTTTACATTAGAAGACAGAAGGGTTGAAAAGAAGGGTCAGTGCTTTAAGAGCATTTGCTGCTCATCCAGAGGCCCAGAATTCATTTCCCAGTATCCCCATGGTGGCTTACAACCATCTGTGTCTATACTCCAGTTCCAGGGGATCCAGTGTGCTCTTCTAGCCTCTGATGGTACCAAGCACATACATGGTACACATATATACATGCAGGCCAACACTCATACACATAAAAACAATTAAACTTTTTTTAATTTATTGGCTATTAAAAAGAAAAGGAAGGATTAGAAAGTTGGTCTTTGAATAAGAGGAATACAGGTTTCTCATTTATTCATGAATACTTCTTTAGGACTGAAGGAAGTACACTGAGAGGTCATGATAGGCCAGACAGAGAGCCTGCTCCCAAGGAGCCCAAGGTGTAGGAGACAGATAAATAAGCCACACAGACTAGACTAAGTGCCCCTGAAGAGCAGGGATAAAATGTGCACTGGGAGCCAAGACTGACTCCACCTGGGATCCAGGGAAGACTTCTCAAGTGATATTTGATCTGAGCCTTGATGGAAGAACTAGATTTACAGAAAGAGTGCCGTAAACCTAGATAGGTCCAGAAGGTTTATGTATAGCCTAAGAGTTCCTTTTGGCTCCTCAAGCAGCTTCTGAACCCAAACCCAGGCCAAACCCAGCAGAACAAACGGGATGTGCCTACTGTTTCCACAATGCTAAACATTTCCTTCTGGGCACGTGTTCCTGCCAGCCTTCCAATACAGAAAAACACATCGTCTCTACCCTAGGAACAGCCCCTGAAGCTCCATCAGCTTATCTCCAGTAGGCCTTATGTCCCCAAAGCCAGGGCTCCCTTCCTAACCAGGCAGAGGGGTCCCCGTCATTTGACAGCAGGCAGGCTTGGAGCTTGTTTGAGTGCAAATGTTCCTTGGGATAATAGGGGTGGGAGGCGGTGGGGAGAAGGCATATAATGTTTTTCTTACAATGGTTGGGTTTCTTCTAACACTAATATTTGCTTTAGGGTTGTTGTCAAATGCAGAATGGACCAGTGGAAGAAGGAGGCATAGTTCAGGGTGACTTGAGCGGCTGGTCTCTTCATGATGACAGTTAAGTCGTGGCTGTCTACTTTCTGAAACTCTGCCTAGATTCCTAACGTAACCCTGCTATTCCTACGCAATCCTGCTCCGGTTGCTCTGAGAACCCAGGGTGGGTTCCTTCCTTTCAGGAGGCTCCGGTTTCAAGCAAGCTTTTGTTGATGGTTTTCCAGTGCCTTAGTGGGGGCAGCGGGGGGGGGGTACTTTAAGTCTTTTCAATTTAAGGGTCAATGTGAGGTTATGGGTGAGCATAGGGCATATTTAGCATAATTATTGAAAGAAGAGATGAGTGTTTAATAAACTCCAAAGTAGAGCTGACAGTCCCGAGAGCTGGACTAAAGACTGTCAGATGCTGGGCTCTAGTCCTTCTATTTTTTAACCTCTGCTCATCTATGGAAGGGGTATCAGGGTGTTTGGAGGACTGAGTCAGATTCATAAATGGACACATTATGAAGCCCATCAATCGTGGGTCTCTTGGTCCCTACCAAGAGTCATCCAGACTGTGTGGGTCTGCACTTCCACTCTCCATTTCCAACCCACCAGTTCTTGTCATGAATCTGTCCGTTCCGGGGTCTCCTCATATGTGTTACACGTCTGACATTTGTCTTCAAGCCATGCTTCGGCCTGAGTGTCCCATCCAAGAGCATAAAACATCTCTCATGGCTTATGTCATCTGCCTCCTGTCCAGCATGCCCTCCTGTTTACACATTCCAATCCTGACAAGCTGCCACATAGACAAGAGGTACTTTTTATAAGCATTACACCAAAACACATTTCTCCCTTTCTTCCCAAGCAGTGTGTGGAGTCTTCCTTCCCCTTCCTTTCTCCTGACTTGGTAAGCTTGAAAGACTCCCCAGCTATCAGCAGACCCATATCCGTACATTTAAGAGTATACTGTATTAATAGTAATAACAATAATAATAATAAAATCAAGTGTGGTGGCCCACCACTGTAATCCCTACACTTGGGAGGAAGAAACAGGAGGACCTGGAATTCAAAGCCAGCCTTCGGTTATATAGTGAGCTGGACGCCATCCTGGTCTACATCAGAGCCTGTTTCAACACAAAAAAAACAAAAACAAACCAACCAAACAAGAAAGAATATACTGTAATAAATGAGAAGCAAATATCCTTCCCATTAGAAATAAAGAAAAACAAACTGCCCTAAACGCCTTCATCCAGGACCAGCCTCAGGCCCTTGCCATCGCCCCTAAGGCAAGGCGGTGGGCACGGGACTCCTCATCCTACCTGAGATAAAACGTTCTCCTGGTTGTCCGCCTCGTTTTGCAGAGTCTCATCCTCAGTGGGCGCCACTGTTTGCACGTCAGGGGGTTCGCTTGTCCCTGTGGGAGGAGTACTGGACCCCCAGGCCCGTGCCATGACCAGAGCAAAGCAAAGAACTAACGGCAGAGACTCGGCCATGAGAAATGCAAGAACTGGGACTTCAGTCCCTTTACAGAGACCACCTTGGGTCAGAGGTCTCAGCAGACTGAGGCTGGAAGGAGTCTTCCCGGGAGCCTGAGACTGACCCACCTCTGGGAGCACCGTCTAAAGCTGGGTGCGTCTGAGTGGGGCAGAAGTCTGCTCCCAGCAGACCCTGAGCATCTCTCTCCTGACACCAGCAGCCCTGACTGTGCAGAGGGCGCAGGGAAGGGGTGACCCCAGAGGTGGAGGCGGGCTCACGGAGCGCGTCGCCGCTGGGGTGGGCTCAGGTGAAAGGCGGGCTTCGGGGAGCTCCCGGGCGCACTGGGATCCGGTGCAGGGCGGACAGAGGCGGCTGCGTGCGGGAGGGGAGAGTGGCTGGACGAGGGCGCCGCAGAGCTGGCGAGGAGGGAGGGCGGAGCCTCTATTGTGCCGGGGCAGCGGGATGCAGCCAGTGACGGCGCGGAGGAGGAGAACCGGGAAGCTCACAGGGCTCAGGCGCAGGGCTAGGCGACCCCGCCTCCTCCCGGGCTCCGTGGGAAGGGCGCTACTGTCCTTGCATCTGACCGCTGATGCTGATTCAAGTGTGGTCCTGTGTGCCCTTGAGTTTTCTCCATGCAGGAGGCCTGGCGGAGCAGTGGAGAAGCGCGATTGCTCCTGTTGGAGCTTTTCCCTGGACTTGACTTTGGGCATAGGCGCTGGCAGCTTTGAACTTAGCGCCCTTGGTAGTGGCACGCCTGCCACAGCTTTAGAACCCAGTATTAACTCAACTCAGAGGGTGAATCTTGAAGTCTCTCCGGAATGTGGGTAAATGTTTAAAATAAGAAAGCTGGCTGAAGTGTCTGGCACTCTGCTTGCCCTGTTAACTTCTCAGAAACAAATGATTGCTCCGGGAACACCTCTATCTTAGTGGTTTGGGACAAATGGCCAGGCCTATCTCTTGCCAGATAATCTCTAGAGGGCATCTACTTGCAACAGTATGTGGGTATGCTACTGTGCCCTTTAATTAGTGACCCCTGTATAGGCCTACTATGAAGTTAACAATGTGGGACTTTCAGGAAGAGCACTGTGCCTTCCAGGACAACTATCACCCTGAAAATGCTCAGCAGGGCCAGGTCACTTCAAACGGTAGACCAGGCATGGTAGTGTATGCCTTTAGTCCCAGCACTCAAGAGACAGGTGGCTCTTTTTGAGTTCCAGAACAGCCTGTCTACATAGAGAGTTCCAGGCAAGCCAGGACTACATAGTGAAGCCCTATCTCAAAATAAAACAAAACAAAGACGGAAAAGCTATCCTACATCCTTGAGAAATTCAAACACACATCCCTAATGTTAGGCATTAAGGATGTAATAATCTAAGTAATAAACAAGAATCCAGCTTAGATATGAGAGCTCACAGAAATATAATAATAATAATAACCATTTATTATTACTATTTTGGTGCTGGACATCCAACTCAGGGCCTCCTGCCATGTTAGACAAGCTTTCTAACACCAAGTCACCCCCCCAACCCTAATAATAGCCAGTAGTAGTAGTTTTTCTTTAAAAATCAGTTGTGGAGAAAAAACATCTAAGGTTGCAGATACCTGGGTTTGTAGGAATGTCACATATACACACACTCTTCTATGAAAGCTGTCAAATTTTCTCTGAAACTAGATGGGGGTTACCTTTATAAATATAGTTTTCAAGTTTAAATTAAAATTTGAATGCTAGCTAAGTCCAAGGCAATAGGTCAGGTTGGTAGGTGCTTCCAGGGAAGATGTGATGGCCTGGCTTTACAGGAATGGAAGCCAGAAAAAGGAGATGCCGAGGGGGAAAACAAATCAAAACAAAACAATCAAACAAACAAACAAAAGGCACGAAGATCCTAAGACAGAATGAGGACATATCCTATGGAGCTTAAAGCAGAAGTGGGTACTTCTAGTGAGTTTCACCAAGGTAGTAAGAGATCAAGATGCAGGCAAGAGCTGGAGGCCATTATGGGCACACAGCAACCTTAGTCTTCCCAGATTATTTCAGGCTGGTGCTCACTTGTCTGGAAAGTCTTTCCAGACTCCACCTCCGGGGCAGTTCCTCCACGATGTGGCTCCCAGAGAACTTTATACTATAGCCAATGTCTTCTCCCCTCTACCCGAGCCGGGACTATGACTGGCTTTACTCACCAATAGATCCTCTGAGTTCTACCAGTGCTTGGAGCACAGTGGCCACTCAATGAACACTGGTTGAGTGAATGGAACTACAAGTAGTCCAATTGATTGTATTCCCAATTACTTCCATAAACAGCCTCTTTGTATCCATTAGGGTGCATTGGATCAATGTACCAGAAAATCCTACTGGCAGTAGCCTAATTGAATACACATGTATTTTCCCCATCTAAGAGGATTGGAAGTTGGCTATTGAGCAGCTCAGTAATGTTATCAAGGATCCAAACTCTTTTCATTTTCTACTTCATTATTGTTAGGCTACTGGCGTGCTGACTTAATTATAATTGATTTAAGCTTTACCTCCCCTTCCCCATTATTGGGCCCTCAGTTTCCTAGTCTCCTGTACAGCTAGGGGTAGCCATAGGATTTTGTTCTGGCCAACAAATGGAATAAATCTGAAGAGTTTCCAGAAGGGATGAGTTGCTTCCTGATAAGAGACCAACAGGAAAGTGGGGTTTTTCTGAGACCACCCAACTCCCTGCTTCTTCTCTTTGAATGTGGTCGTGGTTCTTGGAACTGTGCCAGCTATTCTTGTGACCATGAGTCTCTTGGGTTTCTCATCCGAAATATAGCTCTTTTTAAAGAGCACTTTTAAAGTAGCTTTTTTAAAAAAATTATTTTTATTTTATGTGTATGCGTGTATTGCCTGCATGTAGGTAAGTGCACCTGTGTAGTGCAATGCTGGCAGAGGTCAGAAGAAGCTGTTAGATCCCCTGGGACTGGAGTTATGGACAGTTGTTAGCTGCCATGTGGGTGCTGGGATCTTTTTTTTAAAAAATATTTTATTATCTTATGTGTATGAGTGTATTGCCTGCGTGTATGTGAGTGCACCATGTCGTGCAATGCCAAGGAGGTCAGAAGAGGGCTTCGGATTCCCCTGGAACTGGAGTTAAGGACGGTTTGTAGCTGCCATGTGGGTGCTGGGAATCAAACCCAGGTCCTCTGCAAGAGCAGTCAGTGCTCTTAACCATTGAGCCATCTCTCCAGCCTCTTAAAGTATCTTTTTAATGTTCAGCCCTATAGTCTTATGTAAAATATGATTAAGACCTTTCCTACCTGAATACTTTTCTTTCACTTGAAGATAGAAAGTAAGCACCCTCTGGGTAGGGCATGGTGGTGCATGCCTCAGGAGGCAGAGGCAGGTGGATCTCTGTGAGATCAAGGCCAGTCTGTTCTACAAAGCAAGACCCTGTCTCAAAAAGAAAAAAAAGAAAGTACCCTCTAAAGATGACATTCATTTTAGTCATCTTTCTCAGACCATGTGGTCTTCCAAATCCTCCATTACTCTAGCTATTTTCTCCCTAGAAAGGCTCCAATTTGAATAGAGAGGTTAGAGCATAGTGAAACCAGGTTTTCTTTTTAATTCTTGGTTTTTTGATATGGGGTTTCCCTATAGTCCCAGCTGGCCTGGAACTTGTTGTGTAGACCAGGCTGGCCTTGGGGTCATGGCAATCCTTCTGCCTTAGCATCTGGAGTGCTGGAATCACTGGTGTGAGTCACCATACCCAGCTTCTAAGTCTTGTTCTTTCATTAACAGCCCACAATTGCCTGGGCTTCTTTGGCAACTACATTTCACTAGTGAATCACGTTGATTTGTTTTTTAATGTAGCTTTCTTTTTGTCATATGTGAATTTTTATGCTGGTTTCCTCTAGCCTCTGTATTCCAGTGATTCTTTTTTCTAAACCCAAGTATAGGCTTTTACATTTTTCCCCACTGAAAAATTAGTTTTGGCCCAACTTTTTCATCCTGTTGAAATCATGCTGTTTTTACTTTTGTTTCAGTTTTGGGTAAGTTCCAAATTCAATAAACACAATTTCTGTCTTAATTCAGCTCATTAAAAATGCCACTTGTGAAAGAGATGTACTCTTGTGCTGGAGTGTGTTACTGAATATGTTAAAGCTATAGTGAAATGCTTCTTCTAATCATGTAGTTATTAAAAATTTTTAAAAATTATTAACTTGAAAAAAATTGTTCAGAGGGGGCTAGTCTTAGAGCTCTAGACACATCATTCTAGTATAAGAAAAGTGTCTCAATTTTCTCCTCCCTCCCTTCTTTCCTCCTTCCCTCCCTCTTTCCAATTGAATCCCTGGCCTCACTCAGGCTAAGGCTTGTGCTCTATTATTAAGCTACCAGCCCCTTTCCTCTTGGGGTTTGACCAGGCAGTCAGAGGTGTTGATGCTTGGCCAATGTCTTTGTGTCTACAAGCATCTCTCTTTGTCATCTGTCTTTCAGATATCAAGATAACTGCCCATGGCATCCTTCTACCTGCTAATCTGGTACCCTGATCTGAAGATGCTGAGCTGAACTTGATTTGACTTTAGAACATCCAAGTAGGCCTACTATAAACTCTTCACATCCTTTGCTAAGAGGCTGCTGATTCTGTATCCCTCGGTTCTCAGCATATTAGTGTAAATATAGCCCTCCTTGCTTAACAGACGAAGTCACTGAGTGACTGCATCATGGAAGCTCTGTACTGAGTGCTCAGCATGTGCTGGGTATCAAATGATGCTCAATCCCTGGGTCGATGGCATCATTTACTCTTATGAATGAGGAAATGGATTTGGAGAGGGACATACTCTCATCAGGATCTCAGGAAGCCCCAGATGTACCACCTTAGCTCTCTGAGACCCAGGATCCTCGCCAGTTTTGCCAGCCAGCATGCTGCTAGATTCTAGGGGTTGCTCAGCTACCTCAACCATCACCCTTCCCTACCAAGTTTGCTTCTGGCAAGAGCATCTGCTTTCCAGTTTACCCAGGAGCCCCTTGGCTTTCCTCTGAAATGCCTGCCTGTAGCTAACCAAGGCTTCATTTGCCAGGTGGGGCTGGTGGCTTGAAATGACCTGCCCCCTCAATGTGTAATTTAGAAAATGCACCTGCCCCACAGCAGCAGAATCAAAGAGCAGAGCAAAGTCCCATGAGCAACATCATTCTGCCATCTCCTTTTCCTGGCTGGCTAAGAGTGGGAGTCAGGCCAGGGAGCTGCAATAAATGCTCGGGAGGGAGGGAGGAGTGCTCAGCTGAAAACAAGGCCTTTCTTTCCTGTCACTCCACTCTGCTGCTTTCTCCGTAATATCATTTTGCCCTTTGCCTTCTGTGTTCTCTCTCTCCTTAATTCAGCTTATCTCAACTGTTGAACATATATGATGATCCAGGCATTCTGTGACCCATTGAGCATACAAGGATGTACAAGATGCAGCCTCCAACTTTAGGAGCTCATGCTATAAAGATT